AAGAATATTCTGGAAGTGCTTTTTCTTTTTAAATTTTTATTTTTTTAAAGTTTAATTTTGAAATAACTTTAACCTCACAGAAAAAGGGAAGGAATGCTGAAAAGTCTAGGGTGCCCTTCCTGTCATTTGACCATATTTGCTTTGTCATTATTTATGTATAAATACCCATAAGCATTTTTTCCTGAACCATTTGGGGAGACTAAATTGCATACAAGTCATTCCTTTACCCGTAAGCCCATCAGTGTGAATTTCCTAAAAACAAGGACATTCTTTTATATAATACAGTACAATTATCAAAATCAGGAAATGTAAAATGATATAATACCATGATCTAATCTATAGTTGATATGGTTTGGGTCTGTGTCCCTCCCATCTAAATCTCATCTTGAATTGTACTCTCATAATCCCCATGTGTTGGGGGAGGGACCTGGTGGGAGATAATTAAATCATGGGGGCAGTTTCCCCCATGTTGTTCTCATGGTAGTGAATAAGTCTCATGAGATATGATGTTTTATAAGGGGTTTCTGCTTTTGCTTCTCTTGCTTTCTCCCTTGCCACTGCCATGTGAGAAGTGCCTTTAGCCTTCCGCCATGATTGTGAGGCCTCCCCAGCCACACAGAACTATGAGTCCATAAAACCTATTTTTCTTCCCAGTCTTGGGTATGTCTTTATCAGCAGTGTGAAAACGGACTAATACAATAGTCCACATTTAAATTTTGCCAAAAATGTATGTTTTATTATTTATTTATTTTGAGATGGAGTCTCCCTCTGTTGCCCAGGCTGGAGTGCAATGGCACGATCTTGGCTCACTGTACCCTCTGCCTCCCAGGTTCAAGTGATTCTACTGCCTCAGACTCCCGAGCAGCTGGGATTATAGGCACCTGCCACCATGCCTGGCTAATTTTTTTATTTTTAGTAGAGACCGAGTTTTACTGTTGGCCAGGCTGGTCTCGAATTCCTGGCCTCAAATGATCCACCTGCCTCGGCCTCCCAAAGTGCTGGGATTATAGGCATGAGCCACCGTGTCTGGCCCCAAAATTAATTAATTAATTTTTTGAGAAAGTTTCACTCTCGTCACCCAAGCTGGAGTGCAATGGCATGATCTCGGTTCACTGCAATCTCTGCCTCCTGGGTTCAAGCGATTCTCCTTTCTCAGCCTCCCGAGTAGCTGAGATTACAGGTGCCTGCCACCCCGCCTGGATAATTTTCATATTTTAGTAGAGACAGGGTTTTGCCATGTTGGCCAGGCTGGTCTTGAACTCCTGACCTCAGGTGATCCACCTGCCCCAGCCTCCCAAAGTGCTGGGATTACAGGTGTGAGCCACAGTGCCCAGGCTCCAAAATTTATTTTTTTAAAATGATGCTACATGCATATAAGTGTAATAGATAGCAGAAAGTAATTCTCTTTCTCCTGCCCTCGTGTGATCCAGCATTCTCCTCCCTAGAGGCAAACCCACCCATTTTGACAGTATTTTTCAATCTAAAATTTACCTTTTATCTTTGGAAGCTATGAGTAAGCCACTGGCATGGTTAAGACAAAATTAAAATACAAAAATTAATTAGAATATTATTTGAGACTTGACAGGTACATTTATCAATTATTTTAGCTAAAATATAGTATGATTACAGAAAAAAGAAATATCAGATTTACTTAGTATCGTAAGGTCAAAATTTGATAAAATCAAATGGGCATCTTTCTTTTTTTTTAAACTTTGTTATTTATACTGTTTTTCGCACATATTAGAAGTGTCCTATCTTAGTAAGTAGAATATTTTGAATATTATTAAATTTGGGGGACAAAAATGAGGCTCATCGAGACGTGTATCCAGATTATATAAAGAACTCTTCTAACTTAGCAATAAAAAGGCAAATAACCCAATTTAAAAATGAGCAAAGAATCTGGAGAGGTCTCCAAAGAAGACATGAATGGCCAATACGCATATAAAAAGATGCTTAATATCCTTAGTCATAAGGAAAATGCAAATCAAAACTACAGTG